GTTGTGGGCCAAAAACATGAAAAATCTCGGGAATTTCGGACGCCATTTCCCCCGCGCGACATCCGCAAAAATCCTCGCGGCATGTACGCGCGTGTGCCACAGGCGATGGCGCAATTTGTTCTAAAAATAGTATTGTCCCATATCATGGGGACAACCCCAATACTAGAAATGGCGCGCGCTTACGGTCTCCGCCCCCGATTATGGCTCCTGGTCATGATTAGAACTTTGGCAGAATCCCATACTAGTACGTTTAATAAGAAGTACAAAAAAGCGTTCTATTTTGACACACAAAAAAAATGATTAAGTAAACATAACATAAAGGACTTCCATTTTCTTCTTGACTTGCCGCGTCATATTACAGGATACCGAGGAAACTTACTGTCGCGGGCTCGACTGCGTTCTAAAACATAAGTGAATTTTGTAGTATCTCATGTTTTAAGCTCAAGTTTTGTACATCATTAGTTCTTAAGCTCAAACTCAACTTGCTAACAGATCCCCCGAATTCGCTTTCTTTCGTGCAATGGTGACAAAATTAGAACAGAACAATTGAGATCAATATACAGATACTGACCACAGAGGACAGCGAGAAATATGGCTGGGGAAGAAATTAACTCCAGGTCGATCTATTAGCGCTTGATTAGTTTAAACAAGACCGAAAATTATCCAAAGTTGAAACTGGCAGTATGTATAGCTTTTGTATTGTCCTTCGCTCGTGAAGGTTTTACGCAACAACGCAACGAAGCGATTAATTAATTCCTGGAAAAAAGGTTTTCACGTGTGAATTTCTTGAACAAGCAACACATTCAGCTATGTGTGGACTTTATACACTTGCACAGATCTTCGACCTACCTGAATTTTCTTGTTCTACAGGTACCGGAATGTGACTTGACAAAGACATCGCGCTGCTCGCTGTAGAATCTTCAGCTGCACTGGAGGAACCAAGCACTTCGATCGGTTGAACGGCAGAGCTGCCTGTAAAAACAAAGACTCCCTTTGTGGCAAGTGATATGTGTAATAACGCTCACCATTCATTAGCAGATCATTAACTACAAGCTAATGTGATTGATAGCTCAGACTCAGACTCAGACTCAGACCTTAGTGTGAGAACAATCGCCACGGCGGATAATAGGTTTTGTTTTACTGATTTTCTCTGAGGACTGGTGGAAAAATAACTGCAAAGTGGGTGGGTGGGGTAGGTGGGTAGCAAATGAGCGCCTAGCTTCGTTGATAGAATTTATAAGAAAGTCCGAATTCCAGCCAATAATAGGTAACAATTATTGGCTGAGGGTTTCCGTAATATTCAGAATAATCAAGGTCTTGGTAAGTGTTATCAGCCTCAGCCTTCGGCTGATAACAGTTACCAAGAATCTCGATATCAAGAAAAGCTGAATTCAATAATTGTTTTATTTATACATTGCTGCAAAGACCTTTACAGAACACAACTTTAATTGACATCAAGAAGTCAATTCAGCTTAAGACTCCTGGCAGCCTGTCTTTTCTCTTGGGGTCAGGCGAGTGTTAATTTAATAGCCTACGTGTAGCCGTACCCACCCCGCACCCACCCTCCCTCCCGTTTTTTCCTCGGGGGGTGGGTACGGCTACACGCAGGCTAGAGTTTATCTGTGAACAAGAACTGTCTAGTCTCGCGTCATAATCCCAGCTTCATTTCAAGAGAAAAACAGTCTGCCAGCAGTTCAATTTAGCCAAGACACCACATTCTTTGTTAAAACGTGTGCCATCCACTGATTTTTTACGATCATTTTTGCCTACAGATATTCTGTAAATGTTTTCCGTATTTTTTCTGACTTGTCTGTATGTCGTAGTCGGTAATGCTATCGTCACGAAAAAACTTAGCCTGACCCTGCGACTATGCTCAACAGGCTTTAAATAACCCCTGTAGCTATGTGACCAGCGTCGAGACAATATCCCGCAGTTTAGGGTTATGATAACTTACTGGGAATTTAAGCAAATAAAATAATACACAAATATAATTGAAAATACAGGAGGGAATACACTATGGAGGAAATCTTCGCTAGCAATATAAATATTTAAGAAATGACCAATTTCAATTTGCAATAACAATTCACCGTTTGCTTGCCAATTGTAATTAAATGAATCACGCCTTTTTTTTTTTCGTTTGGCCTGCTGAGCTGAGGGGAACGACACAGTATGTTTCAAATTTATCGACGTCAGCTTCCTGTCAGCTTTTTCTGTCAAACGTTGCAAAAGCATCGAGAAAACAAGGAATTTAGGAAAATACTGCTATTCAACAACGTTTGCAATTATTGCGGCTACAGGTGTCCTGGAGCTCACGCTGTGAGCATTATTACTAAAGTAAAAAAAAATAAGGTTTGTATGGGAACATACCAACTTCATTTAGAAGCCAAATGTACGAACGAAATAACACAATGAAAGCCACTTCAAATTTGCTGCTATAGTGTGCTTTGTGGTATTTCGCCTGATAACTAAGGAAATCTTTACAAGAGACTTCACGCCAATTTTCCAAAGCGCTTTTGTCCCTTGTATTTTGGCATTTTTCTTGTATAATTTCTTAGAGCATGAACAAGCCTTACCTCGATTGTTAATGGAGTTCGCCCATTGTTGTACCCAGCATGGTAGAGGCGCTGGCGAAAGCGTCTAAAACACATAAATACAGCATAAGAACTTGTTCGCTTTTCTTTGTTACATGTTTACATGTAAGACATATGAGGGTCCCAACAAAGAGCTCTAAACGAGGGGACATGGCGCCCTGGAGACCCGTGCTCTGACGTCGTTACTTTGCAGCTCGGGACTCAAAGCATTTTCCACACTGGACCCACAATGGAATAATACGGCCCTGGGGGCCTCGGAGCACTATACGCCTTTGGGACCCTGACGTTTATAGAAGACTATTTTTAAGAGAGTGTACTTTTATTTTAAGATTTGAGCCTTCATCACTAGATCTTTCACTTGGAGACAGAATTATAGGATTGCAGAAGTAACAAAATTAATTATGACTTCTCTTTCACCATTGCTACCCATATTTTACCAAAAACGGGGGATGACGGAGGCTGTAGTTAACAACGGTTGAGCTAACTCGACTTACTCCCATAGAGCAGTATACGTTGCCTCGCTATAGTCGTTATGTTCTGCATGTTTTAATTTAACAACAGCAAGACGGCAGGACATGATAAGAGATTGGAACTTAAGGGGGGCTCATTGCATTATTACAAATGATGTGAAAACGTCACACAAGTGTACTATTTTTAGATCAATTGTCATGCTGTGTGTGGGAGCCTTCAGCCCAGGGCTCAGCCATGCAAGCATGCTATGATGACGAGACTTAAGATTTTATGCAACACGATGGGGATACCAACCTCTCGCCTGTGCTCATCAGCCAGACGAACCTCTGTCAGACCAAACACGCCGCTGGAGGAAGGGGTACCCACCGCGACCACACCCGATCGCCTTGACGGGTGAGAGGACGGTTCACACTCTGACTCACTGGTGTCACTTGAATGCTTTCTAGAGGCTTGGGGAAATATGCAATAAAGTTACTGTCACGAAATATCCGTTGGTAACGCAGCTTGATCATTCAGAAACTAGGGTAACGCAGTGACTGTTGAGTATCACTTCTTCACTACGTTACACTTTTCAATCCATGCTACGACGGAAGAACAATGGACTCAGCATAAAAGTCAAGGGCCTGTTTATATGGAGAAAAGATGGGTTTGCCCCAGAGGAACTGGATGGAAGGTCACTCGCATTAAAGGTAGGGTGAACGTTTGGGGTAGTCTGCGAGCAGGCTCACCTTTGAGTCACACGCGCGAGCGGCGAAGAGCAAAGTGATCCGGCGGAAAGGAGTCTGCTGAGAGGCGCTCACTTTCTCGTCTCGCGGCTTCGCCGCGCGATTTCGCGCTTGCGGCTACACCACGCGCGCTTGTGCTTCAACGTGAGCCTGCTCGCAGGCTACCTTTGGGGAGACAAGCCATCTTTTTCTATGTGTTATTATCAATCAAGCTGTCGTTTCCTCGCACATCAAAGTCAATTCAGGGCGTACAGAGGATGCGCGAAACTGCCAAGGCCAAATTAAACTCGATAAGCAGGTGCTTTTTTCGTTCTTTCCTCGGTTTAAGTGTATGGTCGGGTAGTAGTCCTTCTTTCGTCGGGTCCGTCGAGCGTGACCGCCAAAAAAAGCGCGAAAAACAATGGACGCGCGAAATCTGGGGGTGAGATTTCCACTCACGCCACGCTCGACGGACTAAAGTCAAGTGAGATCGGAATGAAGCTAACCCTCATTCAACAACTTCAGTACTGACAAAGAGCAGGCGACAACGGAAGCATTCTCGACTCAAAAAAGCCCACTTACCTGACGCTGGTTTTCCACTCCGTCCTGTGGCGTCTGAAGCAGCAATTCTCTTTTTAATTTTATTGCTGGGCTTTTTCCTTATAACCCGATCTTGCTTCTCTGCGGAACTTTTCCGCGCAGCATCGTGTGGCGTTGTCTTCCCTTTGTCGCTTTTCAGACTAACAGGTCGTTCTGGCACTTCATCATAGTCTGGTATAAATGGAATCTCGTACGAAGACCCGAGTCTTGAGTGCCCCTCACTCGCGTCGTCAGGAGAATTCTCCGTGGACGAGCTAGACTCACGCTCAGCTTGTTCGTTGTGTGAAGTCGGTATTTCCCAATCTCTGCTAGTTGAGTTTTCAAACACAGGAGATAACTGCTCACTATAACCTGGACTCGGTAGTGAAGACTTCTTCTGAAACATGACAAACTCCTCTCGTTGTTTCATGGCTCTCTCTTGCTCCGGGTCGTACGTTGTGTTAGAGGTCCTTGTCGTGACGATTCTCGCCTTGGATTCCGACAGCACTGATACAGTTCCTATGCTGTGTCGTCTCTGCGCCATTTCCAGCGCGTCTTTCTTGTTAAGTTTCTTTTTCTTCAGAGACAGAGCCTGCTGTCCCGCCTGGGTGTCACCCCCCTCCAGAATGGTTGCAGTGTTGGGATAATTGTAAATTTCCTCGTCCGATGACCCCCACCCCCACCATGGCGGCTGGCCATACAGTGGGCTTCCCTTCATTATCATTTCAAGTTTTTCGCCAGGCACTGTTAAAGAAGTAGAAAAGTAAACGTGAACTCCAGTGACATAATTCTCCCCCTACATACTTCAGTCTAGGAGTTAAAAAGCTTTAAAAAAAGATGCACTTGACTAATACCATTGCCAAGCAAAGTCATTTCTGAGATTTCAATAATTTACTTCTCTGAGATTATGAAAAATTGTCCGTGTAAGGCACACTGTGGAACAACACCGTCAAACATCCCACATGTATGTATGGAGACCCAATGATTACATATTTGGAAGACGAAACTAGTTAAACATGTATGGCATTCTAGCTCATCGAGTTGCTGGAGATCGAGCTGTCATTGTTTTTGGATTTCTCAGCTCCGGATTGTTCAAAAATTTAAACCAAGTAGCATACATTGAGCTGAATTGCACGCACCTTAGCTAATACAATATCAATAATCAACAAATCATAGATTTCTACAAAGGCTTATTTGAAATAGAATGCTTTAACACATAAAGATGAAAAAGAATTTGGTGACTGTACCTGACATGGGTCTCTGAAGTCTTGGTCTGAAGAAAAACAAAGAACAGTTAAATATGTACATTACTTTTACAACCGTCAGCTTGTATAAGTCAAATTGATGGGGCAAGAGGAAAGGTTAGAGCTGCCTGCTGCCATGAGTCCCATAGGAGCAAGGGCGATAGTCAATACAGCACCAGGCAGAGATAGTCCCAACAGTCTTGAGTGTATACACAAGCCAGTAAACAGCTGACTTGTCCCCAGTCGGCTTCATACATCTTCACACAGCACATGGCACAGTGCAGGTAGGAGTTCAGGCTCAGGTGGGTAGGAAGGAAGGAAAATCTTCCCTTTTCACATCACCTCTTGCTCCCCATGCGTCATGCTACGTGCTCTATGAAGACAACTCAGGATGAGTCAGTCAAGAGTAAACGGGTAGAAAAACCACTGTTACTGATAGGAGTTTAGACCTGTATGGAGGGAACAAACATGTATATTGCTCACTCAATATGATTCAAAGCAGACAAACCTGACTTGGAATGCGGTAGGTTGTCCGTGAGCCCAGCTTGTATGAGTTCCCATCTGATGATGAACAAAGCCACCAGGTGCACTACCGTGGGGGGAGTGGACAGGAGGTCTGTGTCCAGTACATGATGGGCAGTGGCACATTACAGGGGATGGGTGGTGATACACTGGGGTCATGTAGGGATAATGGGAGTAAGGTGGGTGAAACTGAGAGTGGGGTGAATGAGGTGAATGCACGCCCTATAAGGAGAAAAAAAATCAATTAGGCGATAATTCATGATATAGTTCTAGATATCTGTGACATAGGCAGTCTACAGTCTATGGACTACAGTCTATATGGACTGTTTGTGGTGTGTTGAGCAGCAGCACAGGCTAGTATGAAGAGGACCATCAGCAAGCTGCAACAAAACAATTGCACATTCCACCCGGAAGCCATTAATATTTATTTTCAATCCAGCATGGTGGGGTAATAAACTTGTACTGGTTAGCCAAGGAGCAAAAACCAAGATCTGTATTTTTATTCTTAGCTATCAATTGAAAGTAGCCTCATAACTAAATGATTAATTGAGCCAGAATGGAACTGACCTAATAGAATGCTAGCGCACTTCTGGTTAATTCTTCTTGTAATGTATTTCGTCAAGTTGCTCTAACAACAAAAATGCCTACACAATATGTGCACTACAAAAATAATTTTTTCTGCCAGTTGAAAGCCCAAGGTCCCTGTGCATTCACGTTAAATGAACATGTTTAAGATTTAGAGCTGCTAATAACAGGTTCAAATAATAAGGTTAAAAATTAACTTTCATACTCTGTAAGACAACGGAGCTGCTATCTTGCTAATATTTTTACATTCCACATGAGGCTTCTTGAGGCCAATATAATTCTAAAATTCCAATCAGTTAATTTTAGTTTTAATAAATCAGACCTTACTAACATGATACATAAGAATTTCTTGGTCTGGAGTTCCAGATCGACGATCATCTTCATCTGAATTAACTTGCTGAGTGGACTGAATGGAAAGTTTTCTTTCAGGAACTGAAGGCTGTGAAAGGAAACAAACTGTGGTTAAACAAACCAGTCAATTTTCACCAGTTTACAAGTTTGAACAATTATTTAAAAGCATTCATTCTATGCCAAAATGTCAATTTTCTTCAAAGTTTATTAAAATTCAGTAAGTGTCAAAATATTTTAACATTTATTTATTTTTTTCTTTATCATTGATTAAAGGTACATGCAGTTACAAGTCTGGCTTGACCTCAGAGCATAGGTTTTTGCAGCACAGTGAGGCTACTATAAAGAAAACTACCCATTAATTATGATGCCAATTATTTACATGTAGACTGTACATGTGCAAGTACAACTTGGACTTATTGATTAAGAGACTGTTAAGTTCATGGTGGTTGCATGGAAACAAACTGCAGGTATCCTGTACTAGGTGTCCATTACCAAATTATAAGAGGGCTCATTTGTTAACGGACATTAAAGTCATTCTTTACACTGATTTTATTTTAAAAAAAAAAATACATCTGGGGTAGTTACTCAGAGTGTTGCTCAAATTCTCATTCTGTTGACTTTGAATTAAGTCATACTTGTAGACAAACGCTGATTTGTAGAAAACTGCTTTATACAAACACCAGGGTTAAATTTCAGGACAGTAATTTTGGTCTCTACTGCATTACTTACATGTACAGTTGTAGCTACATACAACCACATGTAACAGGGGTTTCATTTATCATTTTGAGCAGGAGGGCAACTGGTTTTCACAAGTGGGTGAAACTTTAAGAAGCGACCTTTTTTATATGAAAAACTGTCCTCTAGATGGTCAAACCAGGTGGGCTACATTATATCCACAGCTGGTCAATTTGTCTGGTGCCCACCCCTTATTATGAAACCCCTACAACACTGTATACTACTACATGTACATGTATATGAATTTATCCAAGGTACAGGGAAAATGTACATTAATTGAAATTAACTCAAATATTTATTCGAGAAAAATTAAACCTGGCTTTTGTTAGCCTCCCAAGCTGTGTCCAGTGAATGTTCACTTCCATTATGGTAGTGCTGTCTCTCTGGGTTCTTTTCACTGTTGTAAAATGCTTGCCCATTCCTACGAGGGCAAAGCTCTACGCGAAACGTGTTTGAGTGTTTTAACAGTTAAGAAACACATGATTGTATACCTTTTGCACCCACAAATCAAGCTTGATCTATTTTAAATACGTAATCCTTAAGAGGATTGTTTAACATGTAGGAAAGAGTAAGGACTGATCACCCAAATTTGTTCATTAATTGGAATGTATACTAAAAGCATCTGCAGTACGTCGAATGTTCATCGATTGCCTCCATCGACACTCCATTGACATGTCAATCAACAACTTGATCAATACTTGGTCGAAACTAAGTTGACATGCAATCGATATCTCGATCTACACTCCATCGTCAGTTGGTAGATAGTTAGCAGTCATTGAATGTCAACTGACTCATATATATTGATTGGCAATTGATGGCGTCTGTGAAAATCAGTCAACTGTTGCCCAATTCAACATAAACGTTGATCGACTGTTACCGAGTATCAATGGAGATGTCGGTTGAATGTTGAACAGGTATCGATATGGTATAACGATATCAATTGACACTCGACCGCAGATGCCTTTAGTACATGTAATTCCATTACTTTAGTCACAGACAAGTATGGTATCCGCAACCAAATAACATTCCATTCAGTACATGTACATTTAGATATGCCATTTACAAAACCATGGAATTACAAAATTATATGTGTCACGGTTCATAGACCTCAGGCCTCTTTTTTTTTTTTTCTTTTTTTTAATTCAAGTACACTTTTCAAGGACAATTCAGTAGTATGTACAGTCAAACCTGTACACTGTATATAACGGGTAACCCTGGAGAAATTGCTAGGTGACCGTTATATACACAATGACTGCTGTACACAGGTTTCCTTTAAACTCCCCTGGAGGTCAATAACTAGCACTTTTATGTGCAAATAATCACTCAATTTACATTTTGTTGACAATAACGAGTAACAGCATTGCAATAAACACCATAAAAAAGGCCCATAAAATATCCATGGTGTACTTTTAGGGAGGTGCAGTAAAAGTCTACTGGAAGCAAATGAACAATGTTTCTAAGTGGAAAATCACTCAATTTACATTTATTGACAGCAATTGTGAACAGAAACACAATAAATATGACAAAAATGTCCATAAAATGTCTGTGTATACTTTGATCTAAGTTTCCTCGTAGGAAAAACTTTTAAGTAACGATATGGATTTCAAGAAGAAAAGAAAGCGGTTATAGTTTTCGGATATTTTGGAGCTCGAAGCTTGATTTCATGTAGTATGTCTTTGACTTTACTCAGTGTGAAAGCAAGTTCTTCATGTCCATAGTCTTTTAGCCGAGCCAATGCCGAGCGCTGTCTTAGTCCAATGTTGTGTTGTTACAGTTACATTAACTATTGTTTGAAAGTGACGGCACTTTAATGTTACCTGCCGCAAGCAGGTGTTGGACGTGGGCGATGACATGTATACCATAAGTAGTTGTGTTTGGTACTAATATTTGTATTTTTGTGCGACCCCTGCCTTGGTGGCTGCTATTTAACGAGCTGATGAATAAAATTTGTCATTATATGTTAATCGTAACCCAGTTTCGTGACCGTTATATACAGGTAAAAGAAATAAAATTGTGGATTCAGGAAGTTTAAAGGGTGACCACATTCATTATACACAGGTGACCGCTATATGCAGGTCAACTTAACAGTAAATATAAGGGACGATTTTTGGGAAGTTGTTCAGTGGCCGTTATATACAGGTTTGACTGTATTCCAGAAATTCCAATTCCAATATCCCAAATTCTCTTCCACATCTGTGGCAGACCATTCTAAAATGTTTGGGGGCAATTTGCAAATGTTTTTCCCGGATAATTTTGACAAAGATTCTCTGCAAATGTAATTAATAACCTACTTTGAAGTAAAAAGTTATTGGTGAAGTCAATACTTTTATTATGATTTGTAAGTTAGAGTTTTTCAGATTTGAAATATTCTGTTTGGATTTGAGAAATATTTTGGCATTGTCCCTTATCAGCTGCCATACAGCATTCCAAAATTTCTTGCATATAATATACTAGACCGCCTAAAAATAATATTTAGATGAGAAGTTTAGTGGTAAACAATGTCATGGTCTAGTAATGAACCCTGAAAAAGTCAAGAACTAAATGAGTTTAGGTACGTAAACATTTGATAATTATTTAATTTTGCGATTCCACAGTATCTTCATCCCTATCATTTTTGTTCTGTTCTCTGTTCAGTTGAGTGAGCTGCCATCAAAACATTTGAATAGCTTCTTGCCAACACAGAAGAAAAATACAATTTTTGAAAAATGATGTAACAATGTCAACATGCACAGCTGTGCTTATCCATTGAAGCAACAGTTTTTTTCATCTATGTAACACTATGTGGCTTTTTAATGGCCCAGACACAAAAATAGACTCCTTGTAAACTAGATTTTGACACTTAAATCAAATCATCTGGAGTGTAAACATTTAAAGTCAAGCCTCTCTATATAAACTGAACATTCAGTCTTCCATTTCTTGACTTCACATCCAAACAAGCTCATTTTGATTTTCAGCAAAATTTACCATGACAAACAACATTTATTTAATTGGGCCATAAGAACCAGACATTACCTTCGAAACAGCACTCCACAAACCAAGATCACATCGACAAAATCTCAATGCTAATGTTAGAAATTAAATCTACTACTATCTAGGGGAAACATTTTGTTCACATTCACTCACAAAATAAAGATTGCTTACTGTGATAACAGCATCGTCAGGCTTCAACAGGAAGCTCACAATCTTCTTGTCATTTTTATCCAAAATCACCACTGGAAGACCGAGCTTCACAAAGGACAGATCCCTCAATGATTTCTCACTAGCCACAACAACTTTTAGTTTTCTTGACAAATATTTATCGCCTGTAGCACAGCGTAGAACATCACACAGAGTGCTGTTTTCTTCGATTGATATCCACTTAGGGCCGTAAAGAATCTTGTCTTGACATGATACTCTCACGCAGAAAAGCAACATTACATGTACATTCAAGCCGCTCAACACATGTGTTCCCTCCACTTGGCAACCATTTATACCAAGGGAAAAATCTTGATTTCAAATTCAATGTCTTGATCCTTTTGTGGTGATCAGTGGAAAACTGCATTACAAATGGAGTCTGGTAGCTGACTCATTATAATTTAATACAATCCGTAAGACAGTGATCAGAAAGGGAAAAACCAAAGTCAAAGCATATCAAAATAAACAAGGACGTTCCTGATTGTATTCTGATCTTTTCTGACGCTTTAGAAGAAAGAAAAATCCACCAAGAGCTTCAAGATTGGAGACAAAGAACTGAAGTGTCAAAAACTACATCGAATTTGCATATCAGCTGATCCCTTAAAATAAATTCAAATCTACAAATTGAAGAAGGTCAGGAAATTTGAATGATGATCACTGTTTTGTTCACAAAAACCTCAAGTTAAATGAAAAGCCAAAAGTGAAAAGAAAATTCTGATCACTGTAGCAAAGCAAAAATACAGCCAAATAATTTTTTTCCCTTATCCACCCTTCCCTAAACTGTCACAAAACCACACTTAAAGAATAGGTTCTTTGCTTCTAAGCAAACAAAGGCTCTTCTTTAATCCTTTCATATGCTAATTGGCCATTTCTGTCTCATAACATTTCTTCATTGGCCCAGCTGATCTTAAAGACCCTTACAATGTACATAAATGCCCAAACTTAATTAAACTGGCTTAGGTAGGTAGGTAAAGGAGGTTTTAGCTTTACTGACAAAAAACAGTGGCAAGTTTAATTTATTTCTCTCTTGCTTTGAGTTAGCTTGACAGTAGAATCGATTGTCTTTGACTGATAGCACCAGTCACCCCACCCGCAACACCTGCTATGTTTCATCAACAACACCTGCCTGGAGGGTAGCCTCAGTCTGATGTCAACAAATCCCACAATGCATTGCAGGTGTCTTAACCACAAAAGCCTATAAAATGAATACAGGTTTTCTTGCCAGTTCATTGCTTCTTGGATGGAAGCTGTTAGTATTAATTCAAAAGGTGTTTGATTCAAAAGAAATACAAACATGAAAGGAAATGACCAAGCTTCTGATAAAATATATATATATATTTGAAAAATATGTTCAATATAAATGTACACAGCAGTGTATTGTAAATGGACACATAGATAAACCAGAAAATTTGCATACAGTTTAGTTACGTAAAAGTTAGTCTCAAACACAGAACAGAATATACTGCACTCATCATCACCACATATTTCACACAGCATAATTTACATTTGTCTATTTACAGTCTCTAGTTTTTGGCAGTGTGATTTTTGTAAATTAAAAGGAAATAAATGGCCAAGGAAANAAAAAAAATCAATTAGGCGATAATTCATGATATAGTTCTAGATATCTGTGACATAGGCAGTCTACAGTCTATGGACTACAGTCTATATGGACTGTTTGTGGTGTGTTGAGCAGCAGCACAGGCTAGTATGAAGAGGACCATCAGCAAGCTGCAACAAAACAATTGCACATTCCACCCGGAAGCCATTAATATTTATTTTCAATCCAGCATGGTGGGGTAATAAACTTGTACTGGTTAGCCAAGGAGCAAAAACCAAGATCTGTATTTTTATTCTTAGCTATCAATTGAAAGTAGCCTCATAACTAAATGATTAATTGAGCCAGAATGGAACTGACCTAATAGAATGCTAGCGCACTTCTGGTTAATTCTTCTTGTAATGTATTTCGTCAAGTTGCTCTAACAACAAAAATGTCTACACAATATGTGCACTACAAAAATAATTTTTTCTGCCAGTTGAAAGCTCAAGGTCCCTGTGCATTCACGTTAAATGAACATGTTTAAGATTCAGAGCTGCTAATAACAGGTTCAAATAATGAGGTTAAAAATTAATTTTCATACTCTGTAAGACAACAGAGCCACTATCTTGCTAATATTTTTACATTCCACATGAGGCTTCTTGAGGCCAATATAATTCTAAAATTCCAATCAGTTAATTTTAGTTTTAATAAATCAGACCTTACTAACATGATACATAAGAATTTCTTGGTCTGGAGTTCCAGATCGACGATCATCTTCATCTGAATTAACTTGCTGAGTGGACTGAATGGAAAGTTTTCTTTCAGGAACTGAAGGCTGTGAAAGGAAACAAACTGTGGTTAAACAAACCAGTCAATTTTCACCAGTTTACAAGTTTGAACAATTATTTAAAAGCATTCATTCTATGCCAAAATGTCAATTTTCTTCAAAGTTTATTAAAATTCAGTAAGTGTCAAAATATTTTAACATTTATTTATTTTTTTCTTTATCATTGATTAAAGGTACATGCAGTTACAAGTCTGGCTTGACCTCAGAGCATAGGTTTTTGCAGCACAGTGAGGCTACTATGAAGAAAACTACCCATTAATTATGATGCCAATTATTTACATGTAGACTGTACATGTGCAAGTACAACTTGGACTTATTGATTAAGAGACTGTTAAGTTCATGGTGGTTGCATGGAAACAAACTGCAGGTATCCTGTACTAGGTGTCCATTACCAAATTATAAGAGGGCTCATTTGTTAACGGACATTAAAGTCATTCTTTACACTGATTTTATTTTAAAAAAAAAAATACATCTGGGGTAGTTACTCAGAGTGTTGCTCAAATTCTCATTCTGTTGACTTTGAATTAAGTCATACTTGTAGACAAACGCTGATTTGTAGAAAACTGCTTTATACAAACACCAGGGTTAAATTTCAGGACAGTAATTTTGGTCTCTACTGCATTACTTACATGTACAGTTGTAGCTACATACAACCACATGTAACAGGGGTTTCATTTATCATTTTGAGCAGGAGGGCAACTGGTTTTCACAAGTGGGTGAAACTTTAAGAAGCGACCTTTTTTATATGAAAAACTGTCCTCTAGATGGTCAAACCAGGTGGGCTACATTATATCCACAGCTGGTCAATTTGTCTGGTGCCCACCCCTTATTATGAAACCCCTACAACACTGTATACTACTACATGTACATGTATATGAATTTATCCAAGGTACAGGGAAAATGTACATTAATTGAAATTAACTCAAATATTTATTCGAGAAAAATTAAACCTGGCTTTTGTTAGCCTCCCAAGCTGTGTCCAGTGAATGTTCACTTCCATTATGGTAGTGCTGTCTCTCTGGGTTCTTTTCACTGTTGTAAAATGCTTGCCCATTCCTACGAGGGCAAAGCTCTACGCGAAACGTGTTTGAGTGTTTTAACAGTTAAGAAACACATGATTGTATACCTTTTGCACCCACAAATCAAGCTTGATCTATTTTAAATACGTAATCCTTAAGAGGATTGTTTAACATGTAGGAAAGAGTAAGGACTGATCACCCAAATTTGTTCATTAATTGGAATGTATACTAAAAGCATCTGCAGTACGTCGAATGTTCATCGATTGCCTCCATCGACACTCCATTGACATGTCAATCAACAACTTGATCAATACTTGGTCGAAACTAAGTTGACATGCAATCGATATCTCGATCTACACTCCATCGTCAGTTGGTAGATAGTTAGCAGTCATTGAATGTCAACTGACTCATATATATTGATTGGCAATTGATGGCGTCTGTGAAAATCAGTCAACTGTTGCCCAATTCAACATAAACGTTGATCGACTGTTACCGAGTATCAATGGAGATGTCGGTTGAATGTTGAACAGGTATCGATATGGTATAACGATATCAATTGACACTCGACCGCAGATGCCTTTAGTACATGTAATTCCATTACTTTAGTCACAGACAAGTATGGTATCCGCAACCAAATAACATTCCATTCAGTACATGTACATTTAGATATGCCATTTACAAAACCATGGAATTACAAAATTATATGTGTCACGGTTCATAGACCTCAGGCCTCTTTTTTTTTTTTTCTTTTTTTTAATTCAAGTACACTTTTCAAGGACAATTCAGTAGTATGTACAGTCAAACCTGTACACTGTATATAACGGGTAACCCTGGAGAAATTGCTAGGTGACCGTTATATACACAATGACTGCTGTACACAGGTTTCCTTTAAACTCCCCTGGAGGTCAATAACTAGCACTTTTATGTGCAAATAATCACTCAATTTACATTTTGTTGACAATAACGAGTAACAGCATTGCAATAAACACCATAAAAAAGGCCCATAAAATATCCATGGTGTACTTTTAGGGAGGTGCAGTAAAAGTCTACTGGAAGCAAATGAACAATGTTTCTAAGTGGAAAATCACTCAATTTACATTTATTGACAGCAATTGTGAACAGAAACACAATAAATATGACAAAAATGTCCATAAAATGTCTGTGTATACTTTGATCTAAGTTTCCTCGTAGGAAAAACTTTTAAGTAACGATATGGATTTCAAGAAGAAAAGAAAGCGGTTATAGTTTTCGGATATTTTGGAGCTCGAAGCTTGATTTCATGTAGTATGTCTTTGACTTTACTCAGTGTGAAAGCAAGTTCTTCATGTCCATAGTCTTTTAGCCGAGCCAATGCCGAGCGCTGTCTTAGTCCAATGTTGTGTTGTTACAGTTACATTAACTATTGTTTGAAAGTGACGGCACTTTAATGTTACCTGCCGCAAGCAGGTGTTGGACGTGGGCGATGACATGTATACCATAAGTAGTTGTGTTTGGTACTAATATTTGTATTTTTGTGCGACCCCTGCCTTGGTGGCTGCTATTTAACGAGCTGATGAATAAAATTTGTCATTATATGTTAATCGTAACCCAGTTTCGTGACCGTTATATACAGGTAAAAGAAATAAAATTGTGGATTCAGGAAGTTTAAAGGGTGACCACATTCATTATACACAGGTGACCGCTATATGCAGGTCAACTTAACAGTAAATATAAGGGACGATTTTTGGGAAGTTGTTCAGTGGCCGTTATATACAGGTTTGACTGTATTCCAGAAATTCCAATTCCAATATCCCAAATTCTCTTCCACATCTGTGGCAGACCATTCTAAAATGTTTGGGGGCAATTTGCAAATGTTTTTCCCGGATAATTTTGACAAAGATTCTCTGCAAATGTAATTAATAACCTACTTTGAAGTAAAAAGTTATTGGTGAAGTCAATACTTTTATTATGATTTGTAAGTTAGAGTTTTTCAGATTTGAAATATTCTGTTTGGATTTGAGAAATATTTTGGCATTGTCCCTTATCAGCTGCCATACAGCATTCCAAAATTTCTTGCATATAATATACTAGACCGCCTAAAAATAATATTTAGATGAGAAGTTTAGTGGTAAACAATGTCATGGTCTAGTAATGAACCCTGAAAAAGTCAAGAACTAAATGAGTTTAGGTACGTAAACATTTGATAATTATTTAATTTTGCGATTCCACAGTATCTTCATCCCTATCATTTTTGTTCTGTTCTCTGTTCAGTTGAGTGAGCTGCCATCAAAACATTTGAATAGCTTCTTGCCAACACAGAAGAAAAATACAATTTTTGAAAAATGATGTAACAATGTCAACATGCACAGCTGTGCTTATCCATTGAAGCAACAGTTTTTTTCATCTATGTAACACTATGTGGCTTTTTAATGGCCCAGACACAAAAATAGACTCCTTGTAAACTAGATTTTGACACTTAAATCAAATCATCTGGAGTGTAAACATTTAAAGTCAAGCCTCTCTATATAAACTGAACATTCAGTCTTCCATTTCTTGACTTCACATCCAAACAAGCTCATTTTGATTTTCAGCAAAATTTACCATGACAAACAACATTTATTTAATTGGGCCATAAGAACCAGACATTACCTTCGAAACAGCACTCCACAAACCAAGATCACATCGACAAAATCTCAATGCTAATGTTAGAAATTAAATCTACTACTATCTAGGGGAAACATTTTGTTCACATTCACTCACAAAATAAAGATTGCTTACTGTGATAACAGCATCGTCAGGCTTCAACAGGAAGCTCACAATCTTCTTGTCATTTTTATCCAAAATCACCACTGGAAGACCGAGCTTCACAAAGGACAGATCCCTCAATGATTTCTCACTAGCCACAACAACTTTTAGTTTTCTTGACAAATATTTATCGCCTGTAGCACAGCGTAGAACATCACACAGAGTGCTGTTTTCTTCGATTGATATCCACTTAGGGCCGTAAAGAATCTTGTCTTGACATGATACTCTCACGCAGAAAAGCAACATTACATGTACATTCAAGCCGCTCAACACATGTGTTCCCTCCACTTGGCAACCATTTATACCAAGGGAAAAATCTTGATTTCAAATTCAATGTCTTGATCCTTTTGTGGTGATCAGTGGAAAACTGCATTACAAATGGAGTCTGGTAGCTGACTCATTATAATTTAATACAATCCGTAAGACAGTGATCAGAAAGGGAAAAACCAAAGTCAAAGCATATCAAAATAAACAAGGACGTTCCTGATTGTATTCTGATCTTTTCTGACGCTTTAGAAGAAAGAAAAATCCACCAAGAGCTTCAAGATTGGAGACAAAGAACTGAAGTGTCAAAAACTACATCGAATTTGCATATCAGCTGATCCCTTAAAATAAATTCAAATCTACAAATTGAAGAAGGTCAGGAAATTTGAATGATGATCACTGTTTTGTTCACAAAAACCTCAAGTTAAATGAAAAGCCAAAAGTGAAAAGAAAATTCTGATCACTGTAGCAAAGCAAAAATACAGCCAAATAATTTTTTTCCCTTATCCACCCTTCCCTAAACTGTCACAAAACCACACTTAAAGAATAGGTTCTTTGCTTCTAAGCAAACAAAGGCTCTTCTTTAATCCTTTCATATGCTAATTGGCCATTTCTGTCTCATAACATTTCTTCATTGGCCCAGCTGATCTTAAAGACCCTTACAATGTACATAAATGCCCAAACTTAATTAAACTGGCTTAGGTAGGTAGGTAAAGGAGGTTTTAGCTTTACTGACAAAAAACAGTGGCAAGTTTAATTTATTTCTCTCTTGCTTTGAGTTAGCTTGACAGTAGAATCGATTGTCTTTGACTGATAGCACCAGTCACCCCACCCGCAACACCTGCTATGTTTCATCAACAACACCTGCCTGGAGGGTAGCCTCAGTCTGATGTCAACAAATCCCACAATGCATTGCAGGTGTCTTAACCACAAAAGCCTATAAAATGAATACAGGTTTTCTTGCCAGTTCATTGCTTCTTGGATGGAAGCTGTTAGTATTAATTCAAAAGGTGTTTGATTCAAAAGAAATACAAACATGAAAGGAAATGACCAAGCTTCTGATAAAATATATATATATATTTGAAAAATATGTTCAATATAAATGTACACAGCAGTGTATTGTAAATGGACACATAGATAAACCAGAAAATTTGCATACAGTTTAGTTACGTAAAAGTTAGTCTCAAACACAGAACAGAATATACTGCACTCATCATCACCACATATTTCACACAGCATAATTTACATTTGTCTATTTACAGTCTCTAGTTTTTGGCAGTGTGATTTTTGTAAATTAAAAGGAAATAAATGGCCAAGGAAATACAATTTCCAACTTAAGTTTACAGACAACATGACATAAAATTATTTAATTAGTAATTCAAACAGGTAGCAGCCTTCACTGCACACAATAAGCACTGCCTTATGAAATAAAAGTGATCTATATGTAATTTGACAGCATGGAAAAAATTTACATAAAACAGTTGTGTTTTGAAGCAAACAGATCAACATATTAGTCATCAAAAACCTCAAAAATTAAAGTGAAATAAAAATACATGTAATACAAAATATTATACCAAACTACAAATGTTCAACAAATACAGACCCATTGCATTAAAAGAACCTATAGTTCTGATATATAACTCCTACAAATTTGACCATCTACAGGCCAACATTTATGACGACATTTTATTATGTTGGATTTAAGAACTTTTAGCCTTTCATGAAGAACTGTAGTAAAACCAAACAGTTGGTTTAGTTTGAACACACATCGATGACACTGAATCACAAAATGATTGACAAAATTTAGTTTTTTTTTACCTGGTGTTGTACCACCGGCTGACAACAGGGAGGCAATATGGCTGTACACGAACAGGGGCAGATGTACGTGTTTTGTTCACCATAATTAACAGTTGTTCTGGAAATGGTGTCTGAAAAATACACCAGATAAACCTTCTCCTCTTCAAAAGGTTGCATCGTACCCTTGATTATCCATAACAGCTAAACTATCTCGGTAAAACGACGGTTAGCTTGTTTCATACACAGTTCAAATGCCACAAAAAGAGAAATAATTCTGCCATGCTGAAAGTAATTTGCATACACTTATGTTGGTGGTAATTTCATTGAATTATGCCTGGTACCACAATACCCAATCAAAATGAAAGTCTGTCAATTGATACATTATTTAAACAGCTTATGCCATAATCAAGGGTCTTACAAATATATATACTGTATGTATATATTGGACGATTTTTGGGAAGTTGTTCAGTGGCCGTTATATACAGGTTTGACTGTATTCCAGAAATTCCAATTCCAATATCCCAAATTCTCTTCCACATCTGTGGCAGACCATTCTAAAATGTTTGGGGGCAATTTGCAAATGTTTTTCCCGGATAATTTTGACAAAGATTCTCTGCAAATGTAATTAATAACCTACTTTGAAGTAAAAAGTTATTGGTGAAGTCAATACTTTTATTATGATTTGTAAGTTAGAGTTTTTCAGATTTGAAATATTCTGTTTGGATTTGAGAAATATTTTGGCATTGTCCCTTATCAGCTGCCATACAGCATTCCAAAATTTCTTGCATATAATATACTAGACCGCCTAAAAATAATATTTAGATGAGAAGTTTAGTGGTAAACAATGTCATGGTCTAGTAATGAACCCTGAAAAAGTCAAGAACTAAATGAGTTTAGGTACGTAAACATTTGATAATTATTTAATTTTGCGATTCCACAGTATCTTCATCCCTATCATTTTTGTTCTGTTCTCTGTTCAGTTGAGTGAGCTGCCATCAAAACATTTGAATAGCTTCTTGCCAACACAGAAGAAAAATACAATTTTTGAAAAATGATGTAACAATGTCAACATGCACAGCTGTGCTTATCCATTGAAGCAACAGTTTTTTTCATCTATGTAACACTATGTGGCTTTTTAATGGCCCAGACACAAAAATAGACTCCTTGTAAACTAGATTTTGACACTTAAATCAAATCATCTGGAGTGTAAACATTTAAAGTCAAGCCTCTCTATATAAACTGAACATTCAGTCTTCCATTTCTTGACTTCACATCCAAACAAGCTCATTTTGATTTTCAGCAAAATTTACCATGACAAACAACATTTATTTAATTGGGCCATAAGAACCAGACATTACCTTCGAAACAGCACTCCACAAACCAAGATCACATCGACAAAATCTCAATGCTAATGTTAGAAATTAAATCTACTACTATCTAGGGGAAACATTTTGTTCACATTCACTCACAAAATAAAGATTGCTTACTGTGATAACAGCATCGTCAGGCTTCAACAGGAAGCTCACAATCTTCTTGTCATTTTTATCCAAAATCACCACTGGAAGACCGAGCTTCACAAAGGACAGATCCCTCAATGATTTCTCACTAGCCACAACAACTTTTAGTTTTCTTGACAAATATTTATCGCCTGTAGCACAGCGTAGAACATCACACAGAGTGCTGTTTTCTTCGATTGATATCCACTTAGGGCCGTAAAGAATCTTGTCTTGACATGATACTCTCACGCAGAAAAGCAACATTACATGTACATTCAAGCCGCTCAACACATGTGTTCCCTCCACTTGGCAACCATTTATACCAAGGGAAAAATCTTGATTTCAAATTCAATGTCTTGATCCTTTTGTGGTGATCAGTGGAAAACTGCATTACAAATGGAGTCTGGTAGCTGACTCATTATAATTTAATACAATCCGTAAGACAGTGATCAGAAAGGGAAAAACCAAAGTCAAAGCATATCAAAATAAACAAGGACGTTCCTGATTGTATTCTGATCTTTTCTGACGCTTTAGAAGAAAGAAAAATCCACCAAGAGCTTCAAGATTGGAGACAAAGAACTGAAGTGTCAAAAACTACATCGAATTTGCATATCAGCTGATCCCTTAAAATAAATTCAAATCTACAAATTGAAGAAGGTCAGGAAATTTGAATGATGATCACTGTTTTGTTCACAAAAACCTCAAGTTAAATGAAAAGCCAAAAGTGAAAAGAAAATTCTGATCACTGTAGCAAAGCAAAAATACAGCCAAATAATTTTTTTCCCTTATCCACCCTTCCCTAAACTGTCACAAAACCACACTTAAAGAATAGGTTCTTTGCTTCTAAGCAAACAAAGGCTCTTCTTTAATCCTTTCATATGCTAATTGGCCATTTCTGTCTCATAACATTTCTTCATTGGCCCAGCTGATCTTAAAGACCCTTACAATGTACATAAATGCCCAAACTTAATTAAACTGGCTTAGGTAGGTAGGTAAAGGAGGTTTTAGCTTTACTGACAAAAAACAGTGGCAAGTTTAATTTATTTCTCTCTTGCTTTGAGTTAGCTTGACAGTAGAATCGATTGTCTTTGACTGATAGCACCAGTCACCCCACCCGCAACACCTGCTATGTTTCATCAACAACACCTGCCTGGAGGGTAGCCTCAGTCTGATGTCAACAAATCCCACAATGCATTGCAGGTGTCTTAACCACAAAAGCCTATAAAATGAATACAGGTTTTCTTGCCAGTTCATTGCTTCTTGGATGGAAGCTGTTAGTATTAATTCAAAAGGTGTTTGATTCAAAAGAAATACAAACATGAAAGGAAATGACCAAGCTTCTGATAAAATATATATATATATTTGAAAAATATGTTCAATATAAATGTACACAGCAGTGTATTGTAAATGGACACATAGATAAACCAGAAAATTTGCATACAGTTTAGTTACGTAAAAGTTAGTCTCAAACACAGAACAGAATATACTGCACTCATCATCACCACATATTTCACACAGCATAATTTACATTTGTCTATTTACAGTCTCTAGTTTTTGGCAGTGTGATTTTTGTAAATTAAAAGGAAATAAATGGCCAAGGAAATACAATTTCCAACTTAAGTTTACAGACAACATGACATAAAATTATTTAATTAGTAATTCAAACAGGTAGCAGCCTTCACTGCACACAATAAGCACTGCCTTATGAAATAAAAGTGATCTATATGTAATTTGACAGCATGGAAAAAATTTACATAAAACAGTTGTGTTTTGAAGCAAACAGATCAACATATTAGTCATCAAAAACCTCAAAAATTAAAGTGAAATAAAAATACATGTAATACAAAATATTATACCAAACTACAAATGTTCAACAAATACAGACCCATTGCATTAAAAGAACCTATAGTTCTGATATATAACTCCTACAAATTTGACCATCTACAGGCCAACATTTATGACGACATTTTATTATGTTGGATTTAAGAACTTTTAGCCTTTCATGAAGAACTGTAGTAAAACCAAACAGTTGGTTTAGTTTGAACACACATCGATGACACTGAATCACAAAATGATTGACAAAATTTAGTTTTTTTTTACCTGGTGTTGTACCACCGGCTGACAACAGGGAGGCAATATGGCTGTACACGAACAGGGGCAGATGTACGTGTTTTGTTCACCATAATTAACAGTTGTTCTGGAAATGGTGTCTGAAAAATACACCAGATAAACCTTCTCCTCTTCAAAAGGTTGCATCGTACCCTTGATTATCCATAACAGCTAAACTATCTCGGTAAAACGACGGTTAGCTTGTTTCATACACAGTTCAAATGCCACAAAAAGAGAAATAATTCTGCCATGCTGAAAGTAATTTGCATACACTTATGTTGGTGGTAATTTCATTGAATTATGCCTGGTACCACAATACCCAATCAAAATGAAAGTCTGTCAATTGATACATTATTTAAACAGCTTATGCCATAATCAAGGGTCTTACAAATATATATACTGTATGTATATATTTTTTTTTTTTTTCTGGCCAGTCAAATTTGCTCCGGAAGTACAAATTTCCAGGGAGGATAGTGGTAATAATTATCATGACTAAATATACTCAATGTATGAAGGTAAAAGTCACTGCTAATGTTTTTCAATTGATGGCATTTTTTTGAAGATATCGTGAGATGTTTTTTTTCCGATTTTTTCATTATGTTAATTTTATGTAAAGCCAGTTAAGACTTTTAATGAGAAAATATTACTAAATGTGCCTCTAAAATAATCTCTAAAGCTTTCCATTGGAGATAATTGTAAATAAAGGCAAGCCATGACAAATATAACTCATTCATTATTCTCTCAAAAGTTAAATAGTTTTAAGTTTTGCTTGACCCAAAAAATGTTCCAGGTCCAGTACAACTAAAAACCATTGAACATCAAAACATATTTGGTGAAAGCACCATGCAGACTTGAAAGTGAGTAAAAGTTTCTAATTATATGTATTAATTTTATAAAACCGTGAAATTAAACACTTGGCTGATTAGCTATGCTAGCTAAGTACATGTACATGCAAAGAAAGCCGAATTTTTACTCATATAAAAGAAACATGAAAAAAAAAAAAAAAGACTCTATGAAAAGAAAGCACACAAAAATCTGCTAATTAATGACTTTGCAAAGTTCTACCAGTGCAGTATATAATGTTAAGAATAAAAACAAAATATGGCCAATCAGTTAACACGATGTAAGTGGGCCTATTCAATGGGAAAACAGATGAAAATCAATGATTAGTTTGATTTTTGTTTCTTTTAAAACTAATTTAGTACTTTCATTACAAATTCGGTTAGTCTGTTCAGGCACTCCAGCGTTAAGGTCAATCTAGACCTTCTGTTCAATTTTACAGCAAGCTTTCAAGATTTTGCCAGCCCTTTGAAAATTGATCAATACACAAAGCTATTAAATGCCAGAGGGTCTGTTCTCTAATAACAGTAGCACACCAACATGAGAACTTGAAAACATCCCATATTTGTAAAGCCCAAGCATTTGTTAAATCATGCAATCATGTTCTTGAGAAAGACACATTCTCTACAAGGATTTAATTTAACGAAAGTTTGCATTTAAATTCATACATTATTGATAAAGGATATCATATCCAAATCGAATGTTGTCTCTCAACTTTAGATCAACTGGATGCTGCTTTACTCTTACTTCATTCACAAATGTCTGCAAGAAAAACAAGGAGTCAGTAAATAAGGAAATAAATACCACAACTATGCAGTTTTAAGTCTCAGTGATAACAAAAAAAACCAAAGATTACAGTATGTAAGCTACATGTAAGAATATATGTAATATTTACATGTAACACAGTAAAACACCATTAATGTTACCACCTTTGGTCCACAAAATTTGAAGTTGCATTGAGGACATTTTATAGTAGTTATTATTTTATTATATATTAAATGAATAGATTTAATTACATTCTGATAGGTAACTAGTCATGATGCACATGTAAATAATAATAAATAGTTTGAAATTTAATCTTTGTTTCCTAAACAGAAAATCATGCTATATTTACATCGTTAAGGAGGTGGTTAAAACGTGTTAATTAATTCACACCAAATATGTATGGCACAAAAATGGTCGAACTTGATCAGTTACACATGTGGTACATGTAATGTAAAACAAGAACACAGGGCTGTCATTAAGTTTTAATTCACCTGTAGCCTTGATCTTCACACCCGTAGCAAACTTGTTACTTTATGAGGGAATGGTATAAACAACAGGTCAGTGCACCCATAACATCAAGGGTCCATCAAACATACTCAGCCATAACAGGTGTTACGGGTTACGGCCCTTATTGACAGCCCTGAGAACATGTGCATTCTACATGTACATCATCAGCAAATGTATGACACAACAGAGTCAGTACTTACGCCATTCAAAGTTCCAAGATCATGCAACTTGTACTCTCGATTCTCTGTGTTCACTGTGATTACTGCATGTTGTTTATCCACACTTCTTGACTGAAATAGATTTCAACATTAATGCATGAATACTTCCCAAATATTATGCATGTATGTACATTTTTTTAGTACTGATTTTCTTTCAATGTGGCATGCCAACCTTGCATGGCTGGTGCCTCTCAATTTAACCAACCAGCAATTACATGCAGCAGGCTAGAGAAAATGTACTGCTGTTCTATTGTATATAACGTTCACGGGTAAGGCATGGAAGTTGGGTCCATGAAATCTCTCTGCAGACTACAGCCGCACATGGAATATTGTCAGAAAAAGGTATTTTAAATGCCAGAAACCACATTACAGATTGTACATGTAGGAAGCAAAAAAACAAAATATTTTGTGCCTTTATTTGCCAGCAAAACTAAGTTACCTTCATAGCTTCATAGCTCAATTGGTAGAGCATCGTACCAGTATTTTGCGGAGGTCACTGGTTCAAATCCCATTGAAGCCCTGATTTTTTCAGGCTTCTTCTTTCCAATTGCTTAAATTGAAAATTTAGTTCGATGATCATTCTTCACATTCATCTACAACTGCAGTTCAAATATGAATTACTTCATATATACTTCACATCGCAATCATCATCGTCATAGCTGTTGTCGTCATAGTCATATTCATAATTGTTGTCATCGTAGTCATCATTGCCGTCGTGCGTACGTGTCCACAAGCAAATTTACTGCTAGCCAAAATGACCATGAGAAAAACAATGCATGGGTTACTATGAGTATGGTACTCCGCTTTGCACCCCTTCGGGCTGCTGGAGGTCTGCCATCAAGAAAGTGTCAACTATTTACATCTCAAAAGGTAGTCACTGAACAACATTTACTGCATAGTAGCGATGGTACCACTTGTTTTGTTGTGACTGTTGCCTAAAAAGTTTAATATGTATGTTTTCCTGTAAATTTAACTGGTAGATAACGGTTTCCAAAGCGATGAGGGGACCTAAACCTTAACCACAGTGTAGTGGGGCCAGATTAGAAATACAGTAGAACTAAGGCTGCGTTCCTTTGGGGTGATCTGCATCAGCATCAGTGATCCAAGATCTGTCTGGATTATGGTGCATCAAAGAAACCGATGAATCCATGACCAGAATGGATTCATCGGTTCCTTTGATGCACCATGATCCAGACAGATCTTGGATCACTGATCCTGATCCAGATCACCCCAAAGGAACGCACCCTAAGCTTTAACTTTGCTGGAAGTTGAAAATCAAAATAATGCTGAGCTGATTAGGAAATCTTCATTTCTCGAGTCAACTTTGAAATTGTGCGTCTTAAATTTAAGAGTAAAGTTCTTTGCAGCTAATCTACACCTGTCTGAAATTTGAATCGCCGCTAATTTCAAATTTGCAATTTTTCACACCTTCATTTATTTTTTTTTTCCGCCTGTATGATAATTTAAATACAATCAAAACGTTTTCAGAAGAAATTTACAACACAACAAATGATCTGAGACCTTGCTCACAGCAACAGGAATACTGCATCAATACAAGGAACATGAAAAAACAAAAAAACAAAAAAACACACACGCATGCATAAAGAGTTGGCATATTATGTTTTAAATGGGGGAGGGAAGAAATATGTTCTTTGTGACCTTATAGTCCAGTGTNAAAAAAAAAAAAAAAAAAAAAAACACACACACACACTGCTGGATATAAGTTTTTTTACGAAATGCACGCTACAAGATTTTTCCGAATACGTTTCAAAGCTGACAGCACGAGTGGGGCAAATTTGACAGCAAAGAGAACGGTAATCCTACCTTCAGGGTTAAATCCATATGATCTTCTCTGCCTACAAAAAAGTTTGGTTCACAGAGCTTGTGGAAATTGCCTTCCGGGCTCAGGAGAGCCCAGTTACCACCTGTCATCATCACTATCAACAACAAGCGAAGGTATCGGTCGACAACCCAAACGTCCTCGACGAAGAAGCTGCTACAGTGGAACAAAAAGAGCTCGAGAATGAGCTCATTCTGTTTTTTATATGTACAAATTTAGCTTTCAAGGAAGAAATATCAATATCTTTCGGCTGATGTCAAAAAGAAAGCCAAAAAAGTCCATTTTCTAGCAGTTACTATCCGCGCAATCGGCGGTCAATTTTGTTTTCACGAAAACCTACAACCGCTGCCCAAGGTGATACGGCTCAAAAAAGCGCAATTTCAGCGCATGTAACAAATTGACGTCAGTTTTTCATGCGTCCGTCCTGTTATTGATCATGAATTTCGTTATAACATTATCAAACCAGCTGTGAGTGGATCCGCAGACTACGTTGACAATGTTATGACGAAATTCATTGTCATTATTCATTTCAATATGTTTTGTTTTTTTCTTTGTTTGTTTGTTTTGTTTTGCTTTTTATTTTATTTTATTATTTTTTTTTTTCACTATAACAGATTGCCGACGCATCGCACCCCATAATTGTCCGCTTGTTGACAATGAAAATTAGCCAATGAGCGCGCGAGAATTTCTGCAGTTACAGTAAGACTACATATTGTTTTCCATTTTATCCCATCTCATCCAGCTATCTCATCCTGGATTTCATTTGGAATATTTTATACAGGCAATTCTCATATTTCAGTTTGTTTTATTTATTTATTTATTTATTTATTTATTTATTTATTTATTTATTTATTTATTTATTTATTTATTTATTTATTTATTTATTTATTTATTTATTTATTTCAGTCTATAAGGTGAAAATAAGTAAGTAAACATACAGGCTATAGAATTCGCTGGCCACTACACGAAGTTTTAACATTTACAGAAGACATAAGCCTTTTACAAAGATTGTTTTTTTTTTTTGTCAGACAATGCCCACTCCAAATCGTTTATTTTTCCTACCAGATTCTTGCGATAGGGAACGAATCAGGCACCTATTGATTTAGTGACGTACTTGACGTTTTTTCGCCTTCAGAAATCTGAATTCCCCAGTTCAGACATTTTAAGGCCCTCGCCGAAAAGGGAGAGTGTGAAAGAAAAATAGAATTTCCACAAATAGCTCTGTTCTCTCTCTGTAAAGAATTCAGTTTTGAACAAATACCGAATTGCGCGAAATGCTTTAAAAAAATGTTGTTTATGCGAATGAAAATCACTGATACAAGACAATGCTTGCCCGTGCAACGAAACAAGTCAATCAGCGAAGAGTTCTAGCTCACGTGGTAGAGAGCTTGCAGGCGCCATGCTCAAACAGTTGAATGAACCTCGCAGGACTTCAAGGTCAAGGTTTCTTGTGAAGGAGCCGGAACTTCTGTTCAACGCCAACTTATTTGAAGATGCAACTGACTTCAGCAACATTAATCCAGTGACTGAAGCAAATTGAGGCAAACAGGTGAGTAAATTCACTGTTTGAAGTGATAATGTAATGTTAAATATCGCAGTAATAATATTTGCATGGCCTTTATCGCCCTGTGAACTGGTCTACTGAAGTCTACTGCGGTTTCATGCAAGCCGAGGCCGAAACTTTTTGATTTTTTCTTGGTTTACCTACAATCCCCAAACTAGTTCTTCTTAATTGAGCTGCTCTAATCTGGAACTTTAATTGAAGCTTGTGCACATGGGTGTCAGTTTTTAAAACAAGTTTCGTGTCAAAAAAATTATAGGTGAGCTCTTGCTTTATTGTTATAGCACGAAGTGATTAGTATTCTGGACAAAAGGGTCATTTTTATTGACTTTCTTCTGACTCCAAGCAAATGGTAAGAATTGCCTTTGCCATGCAAATGACCACGGTTTCCAAAATATTTTCCTGGTGGTGTTGCTCTACTGATTTGTGCATGGAATTTAATCGCCCATTTTACCCAGTTGAATAGAGTTTAACTGTTTGTAAAGGGTAGCACAAGCTAGGGGAAATGCAACACGCACATGGCACGGAGGCATGTTTCAGTGACAGTTTTCCTCGTATGACATGCACGTCTTTGGATCTTTTTGCGGAAAGTTCTGTTGCGGGACAAAATGTTGCATGAAATGCCAGCTGGTTTGATTTCGTGCGTCATGAAGCAGGGACAAAATGACCTCAATTTTTTCATGTCACATTGTGTGCTCTTTCCTGATCAAATTGCAGGAAGAAAAAATATTGTTTCGGCATATGGTTACGTCACAGCAATATAAGGCAAAGGAGGTACTTTTGACGCATGCGTAGTAGTATGGTCATAGCTGTGACGCATAAAGTGTCTCTCGACAAGTAATGATTTCGTCTTTTTCAGAAAATTTTAATTTTTGTTTATTCATTATGAACTCCTACGCAGGAAAATCGAAAGCTTCTTATGTGATACCAACAAGAAAACAGTCTCTGTCCTCAACAGTCGGAATAAGTGCTGGTGCCGGGTTACCTAGCTTGCAAAGAAATTGTTCAAGCTGGCTGCCTTTTTCATCTACGTCTTCCTTGATAGGCCATTTCCAAGTTACCCTGTGCCTTTGCTTCAAAACGAGTCCTCGTGCAAAACCTCTCATATGAAAATACGTTCCCCCTACAGGTTTTTATTTTATTATTTTTTTTTTCCCTATGCAAATCAAACTCATTTTCATATGAATGGTTTCGCACGAAGCTCGTTTTGACACGCAGGCAAAAGACTACTCGGAAATGGCCTAGTTCATCATGTTTATAAACGCATGTCCTCTGCGTGTCATCCTGCGTTTTCGGATGTAAATCAAACAGCATATACCCATAAACCCTAGCAGTCGCATCACGAAATGCTCCCATGACTTCTCGCACCTTGTGAGGGAACGATTGTTTTGCACTCTCAACTGATCATTTGAATTTTTAAAGACGATGATGTACAAGGCAATCGTTGTCTCGTTGTCTCCTATTTTCCTGATGGAAACAGTTCTTGAAAAATGCAAATCACAGCAATGTTTTTATTAAGCGCTTCTTCGGTAAACAAATACAACAGTGTTCTATCATTATAAAATCATAAAATCATAAAATCATCCAGTATGTGGAGAACAGGTCTTATGGAGGGTAGAAATACCGTCCCTAAATCATCCAATGGTAATCCCTCATGAAGCACAATATGCAAATGACTTCTACTGTAAGTATCTCCTCCCACCGGAGATATTTGACGCGCGTAAACAAAAATGAACTTTTATTTTACCTTCGAATTTCGCAATTGTCTAAATCTGTGCAGTACGCCAGTGGCTCTAAAAACGTGCTCAGGCTAAATATGCAATGACAGCGGTCAGTTCCAAATGGAAATACAAAATAGTATCCGTCGTCGTTCGCGTTCCCCAAACGACGCAGAACTTGATCATTTCACGTTGTTGTTTTGCAAAGGGCGGCAAATAAATGTACAAATATTTGTTACCCACGTGCACATCTATTGTTTTCCTCATTAAACCTTTCTGTTAGGTGAAGTTCCCGTTGCCTTCGCCGTCTTGGTTTGTTTAAGCTCCCTAATTGTTTTGCGGTTATGGCAAGCGTTAAATTGTTTTAAGCGGTTTCAGTCAGGGCAACTCTAAAACATGGAATCCGAAAAGTGGAATCCGAAACCGAAATCCAGAATGTGGAACCCGGAAACTGGAATCCGGATTCCGGAGTCCGGAGTCCGGAAAACGGAATCAAGAATCCAGAATCCGGAATCCGGAATTCAGAATTCGGATTTGTTGTTTATTTTCTTTGCTTTACTTCAATTAACCACAAACTGCAATTGTTCAGATGGAAATTTTGGTGGAAAAACGGGAAGAATCTAGTTTTTTGAACAACCGTGCCCGTGAGTCGAGGTTTTTATAGTATGCCGAAGCTAAGTATTAAAAAGGATTGGATGGGTTTTTCCGTGGAAATTCTAGAATAATTTCAGACTGCCGGGTATGTAGTATTTTGCAAACATTTCCCGGCTGCCGGGTATCTAGACACAGCGTTAAAAAAACCTCCTCCACTTTACGAAATAAATTTACCCGCGTGACGCTTTTGGCGCGAAATGGCTGGTTCCACTCGTTCACATCCCCTACCCGAAAAGGCGAGATAATTTTCACTTACAAGGGTGCGGTCAGGGTTAAAGTTGCCACCGGAAGTAATCGCGTCATTCTACCTACCCCCGGAGGGGAAATGTGAACGATTTTACCGATTCGATATTCGAAATAATGACATCGCAAACTGGGATAAACCGTGATTGTCAGAACTGGATATCACAACTGGCATTTCGGAAATCGAGCTTTTGATTTCTGATTTCTCAATTGTGGATTTCAGGTTTTCAGGGATTGCGATTTGTGATTTGTGATTTCTGAATTCTGGTTTCAGGTTTCTGATTTCTAAATTCTGATGTCAATTTTCAGAGTTCTGATTTTTGAATTGCTATCTCTAATATCGGGTTAATCATGGCCTTAAAATCATATATTTCATATCTATAATAATCAGAACCTAGAACTGAATTACACCTAATTTACGATTTTCTTGATTTTAGAATCAGGAAAACAGGCTGGCCGCAGAGCATCCTGGTTATAAACAACCACCCTAAACTGTATACTCTGAATATTAATCACAACGAACAGATTGGTTTTGAAAATATTGCCAACTAAAATCGGCTTCGTATTTTGAAGCCGTGCCAGAAAGTAATAACAACCGTTCCTTGCAACTACCTCATCAGTCAAAGATTTTAATTCCCAAACTTCGTAAACTGTGTGCTACTTTGCAGTTTACTTTGCAGTTTACTGTCTACTACTTTATCTATATTTTCAGCTGCCTTGTAGCGATTCAAGCATAGATCTGGTTGAATTACTCAGGTCACACGGTAGTTGATGTTGTTTATGATGCGCTGACCTAACACTAGTGAGTCGAAAATTATTCGTTTAGTAGCGATGAGAAAAAGCCATCAGCTTCTCATGATCTCAAAAGCTGGCTCCCAATTTCTGGTAAACTGAAAAGCACGCATAACGCACCCCCTCCCCATGTTTTCCCTGCGCTACACTGGTGCACGGACATCCAGTTTAAGGTCAAACCTGGCTTGTCAGCGCGAGTGAAGCATCCGAACACAAGAATTGTTTTGCGTCATTATTACTAGAAACGACTTAAATTCATTTTGTTGTTGTTTTTAAAGAACGGAAAGATGCTTGGGAAATTATCTATTTCTTAACTATTTGCTTGATTTCTGCGTTATTGATTTGTTCTGTTTATTTTGAAAAGCATTTTGTTTTGCACTTTATCTCTGTTTCTTAAAGAATGCAGGAGTAAACTTGACTGCCTGATATATAAAATGATATACATCAGAGATCGTAAGCCAATATAATTATACTCAATACTCAGTCAGACTCAATCAGAGCAAAACTGTTTGTTTAATTAACATAGTTTCCTAATAGTCACATGTTTTCTTGTCATTTAATGCATTTTGCCCCCTGCATAATTGTAAATCCTTTTATAATGCAAAAACTAAGCTACACATTTACTTGACAGTGACATTCGACGCGTTTCAAACCTCTGACGCAGAGTTCTAGATAGTCTTTGTCCTAAGGTACCTTATGGCCATAAAAAGGAATTACTAGCGCTAACAAAAGCTGTTATTTAGAGTGAGCATGACAACTAAAGACCGAACTGTTATAGTAGTTGTGACGAAAAATTAACTGTATTTTTCACTCGTGTTCTTGTTTACAGAATATGAAAGAAATAGTCACTCTTGTAGGCTAAAGATAAACTCGGGTAGTTGTCCCTTTTCTACTCCAGTTCCACCACACCAATCTTTTTTTCTGTTTTCAAACTTAAATGTAACCCCGGAACTCTCAACGTGGATATTACCGTGCTTTCCGCCAAAAGAATGCGGACCACTTATGTCAGCCTCAATATGATACCTATTGCCTTTAATTAAAGAAACAGGGGACTCAAGCAAAACATCGAAGCCCCAAAAATTCTTTGATTTGTTGAACAAAGATGGAAATGTACCTTTAGTAGATACAACAGTAGTATAATCAGGCAACTGTTTCATCGTAAGATTTACAGAGAAATAACTACCAGCACTACCAAACAAGTAGACCCCGTGAAAAAGTACGTTTCTGTTTACAGAGAAAATTATCGCACAATTATTATTACTCCAACCTGGCTCGACTGAGCCAAACCTGAAACATCGTACAAGGCCGGAGCCAGCACCTCTCATCGATACCGGAAATCCAACTTCAGCGCCTTTTACTGAGCTCAAATATTTGACAATGTCTGTGACCTCATCTAGAGTGAGTATTTTGCAGTCAAGGACCACACTGACAAATTCTTTATGCGTCATCACAGGGAAACGTATTCCCTTCACGATCTTCTCCCCGAGAATTCTTCTCTTTACTCGACCATCCGCCACTAAACCCCGCTTTTCCGATTCCTTTGTCGCCCATTGCATGACTTCCTTGAATAATTCCACCTCTGAAATGCGCAAGGTATCTCTCTCAACTACTTCCTCAAGTAAGGACCTATCAATTGTCACAAACGCATCTGATTTCACCGCCTTTTCTGTCTGTTTATCGATCACCTTCCAGCATTGATCCACCAGGTTTTTCTCTTCATATTTCTGAGCAGAGGGCAGGATGCTGAAAACATTCGATGGATCTAAATTACCTTGCAGAAATTCGGTGCATTTATCAGCCAGTGAAGGCACCATGTATTTCTTCGCCAAATACAACAATCCCATCACATTACTTCCGCTCAAGTTCAGTTCATCGCTGTACATGTAACGAAGCAACTCCAACAGACTGTCGTACTCACAGTCAGGCAGTTCAATAGAGTCTGTAGTCTCCGCCAGCTCACCGTAAAACATGGCTTCAAACACAGGACTGCTAATCGACAGCACGAACTTGTGAGCAGGAATCACTTGTTTACTTTCACTTTCGCCTTGAGCGGCCTTTTGAACAACAAACTTCACATCGCTAAAGAGATTGTTGTTGAACATAAACTTGCTTCTTTCTCTGATAGTGGGTCGTGTAGTTTGCCAGTTTTCCTTGACGACAGACATGGTTTTTGTAGTGAAATCCTTTCTTTGAAGTTTCAGTTTCGAACTTTACCGTATGGTTGTGGCAAGATGGGTGGCAACCAAGCCTTCGGTAGTGTGGAACAATTTGGATATAAAATTACTTTGCAGGAATTCGTTACTCAGTCTAGTTTGCGTGACCTTTAGCAAGGAGGTGGTGGTGGGGGAGAGTTTGAAAATCGAACCAATAACAAATCAACAGCTAAACTGACATGCCTTCTACCTCAGTTTTATCATATTTCCAGTACGGAAACAGCGTGTTTTTCCTATTGAGGTGGCTAAAAATATTTTTTACTTGCTAACATAGTTGAAGATACGCCGAAACATAAGTAAATATACTTACTTTGCACTTATTGCAGCATCTAAATGTTGATACTACGAATACAGGGCAATAGTGCCAGCCTCCGCGCGGCCAAAAGTCTTGCTCCTCTTAAAGGTCTCCGGGGACGGGAAGGCCAGGATGGCAACGCCAGTGGACGCAGGAAACTTTCGCGGGTCCCGTCGTGTCGCCAGAAACAAAATGCTTAAGACGTGCATTTTCGCAAAGGACGGCGACGTCAATAATTCGAACCTCGTACAAGCTATTTACAGAAGCAATGACATCCATTAGACTATAAAAGAGATGATAGAAATCTTATCCTATTAGGCTTAAACGATCGATAGTGAACAGCGATGCTGAATTTCTTTTTCTAAGCAAACATCTGTCAATATTTTAATAGAGAAACCACAATTTCCGTATGAAAAAATTAAACGAACAATCTGATCGAACTGCTTCAGATGGCTTTTTACCACTAAAGCCTTTGGGAATTCTGTCGCCGAAGAATCCTGACTTTTGTTGAACGTTTCAATTTCCATCTGTAATTGTAACAAGCATTATAAAAATCAAACAAACGTTGCGTAAAGGTCCGGGTAGTATAAAAAAAAACACCTAAACATCAGTTTGAAAATGTGTATTTCATTTGCTCGATAGATGCTCCGTGGCATTTAATCTTACAACAATTTATCAACTGTACTTACACTGATGTATTCTCAATGCGTACAGTTTGTATTGAGCTTGCACACAGTTGCACACAGCTTGGAACAGTTATCGGAGCAAAACAAGTGCAAAATACTCACGTCTTTGATACGACGGCTAGTCGGGCGAAATGGCGTCCTCGACGAGATGAGGACGGCAGAGAGATTAGTCGAGAGTTCTCGTGCGCATGCCCGGTTGAGTCAATTTACTTCCGGTAGCCGTCCTGTACGGGTCCGCAAATAGGGACCTTACGCATATACGACGGCGACGGCGAAGACGACGCCTAGTAAAAAATGTGTTTCTATTTTATTTTGGAATTTCGCATTTATTGGAACTATCCAGTGTGTTTGTCGGTATTAAAACTTGCCCCTGCTGAATATGCTACGAATGCGTTCAATTGCAAATAGAAATACGAAAAATTAGCCGTTGTGATTCACGTTCTCCAGACAACGCAGAATTTGGTCATTACACGTTGCTGTTTTGCAGAGGACGGCACAGAAATGTACCAAGAATTATAACGCACGTGCACAGCCATTGTTTTCCTCATTAAACCTTTAGTTTGGTGACGTTCTCGTTGCCGTTGCCGTCGTGT